CCCGCCGCCGTAAAACCACAGGCTTTGCGCGTGCAAAAGGCACAGCTGTCATGGATACATTTTCCCGCCAACTGGCAATGGCGGTGTGCCGCCTAGTGGGGAGTGTTTGAGCGGCGTTAAACCCCGCCATACTCCTCGTCTGACAAGAGGGGGTATATCCGAGAGAGGCAAGAGGAGATCTCCCGGCGTCCCAAGGCGGCCTGTCAAGCCGGCGTCGGCGTGCTCGACTCAGTCGCATTCTGGCATTCGAGTAGTTTTCACTCAGCGTCAGCCGGGCAAATTTTCCCATTTTCCACACTCATCGGCGTCCCCCGGACGAAATTAACATCTCCATAAATCGCTGAACCGAGGAGACTCCGATAAAATTCACGCAGTTGAATAAAGAGAAGAAAAAAGGCGCGACAACGTCAAATGGAGGCAAGCGGGCACGACGCCGACGTCCCGCGTACGAATCGCAACGTGCTCAAATCAGTGTCACTATTCTCCCACTAACAACGATCTCACCAGCATCATTGACATGTGCTTCAACCTCCGTTAATTAGTCAGTCGATTTTTGTGGATATATCGAGGCTTTTTTTACCGAGTGACAAGTGCACGTGAGTCTCGGGCGGGTGAATAGTCAATTAATCGAGACGAAAACTAATTGATCTAGTTGATCGTTCGCGAGTGACAGTGAAGTGGAAAAGACAAAATGCTTCCGCCAGCGGCGTTGCACATGGATCAGAGGATAAACGGTGATAGGACAGGTATGCAGCAACATCATTCACATCATCATCATCATTCCCATCACTTGGATCATCGTCGTGAACAGAATGGGGGCAGGGACTCGAGATTTCACAGGCCGGCAGTACTGTCGCCAGGTAAGATCGAACGAGTCCCAGCTGTCACCCTTCCGCGATACAATAATACTCGATTTTTGGGGGAATTGTTTGATCTCAGTGACAAGTCGGTTTATGGCACTCGATCGTCGTGGATTATTCCCCTCGGGAATTTATGCTTCCGCTCGGTTCGTGTCATTTTTTTTTATTCTCGTTGTGTCTTCAGGATGTTTTTTTGCTGCGATTTTTTTTTGTTTTCGGGAATGTTTTAGGCCCTCTTCTATTTGAGTTTCGTCGCTCTTATTTTATAGTACATGCGGCGGACTAACGCGCAGCGAGGCGGGCGCAGCTGTCACGGGGCATCTCTGTCTCGTGTTTTTCTGCTTCGCTCGGGGCTTTTTTTCGTCTCGCCGCATGCGAAAACGTCGTAATACCTTTGCATCATTGGGTTACATGATTCAAAACGGTTTTTGCGGGGGTTTTGGTGACTGCGGGAGATTGGGTGCAAAGTTCAGGGGGAATTGGTGGGGAAAAAAAGCGCGAGGAATTCGCGACACGAGGCAAAGTCCGGGCTTTCGATGGTTCTAGGAGTGATTGTGGGTTAGGCTGGCTTGGACGAGCCGTTCAGGTGGATAAGGGGGACAGGGTAAAGTCGAAGGTTTCGGGGGTATAGAGAGGCAAATGGAGATTGAGAGTTGGTTGGGGATTTGTTTGGTTTTGAGGAGGTGAGGAATTTCTTTGGTTTTTGTTTTTAGGAGATTTTGTAGGGATTTATTTGGAGTCTATTCTTGGTTGGAATTTTTGTAAGAAGTTATTTTTGGTGCTTTTGATGTTGTGGTTGAAAATTTGAATTTCTCAAGTTTTGGGGAAAATGCTTTCACCTGTTTTGGAAATATCTCTCATTTCATTTTTGAAGAATTTTTTTCATCTCGATTGCCTCCAGAAAAAGGTCTGACATTTGCTTCTCATGATTTTTTTAATGAATATCTGAGAATTTTTGATGATGAATTTTTATTTGAGATTTTTTGCTGATCTCAATCGTATCTGATGAAAACTGGGGATGCATTATTTCCCGTATTAAAATTTTTAAAATGAAACTCGATCTTCAACATTCAAAACGCCAAGTTTGACGAAAATCTCCACAAAAATCTTGTCATCTCCTCTGGATTGAAAGACGTCTAATCAAAACAAATCCTCAAATGTCAGGTCTGACAGAATGCTCCCACGTTTTTTCTAAATCACTCCGAATCTATCGCAGGCAGCAAAAAAATTATGATGACCTTTTTTGTAGCCCGGAATCTCCTCCAGAAAAACGTTCCTTATCAATATTCCCCTATATCCACTAGATCCGAAGTTATCCGACGAAAACCTGTGACGCATTAATTTTCCTCAGTTTCCTTCTCACGGAGACTCCTGAAAATTGAGATTTTTGGAGTGGGGAGGGGCTAGGGTGCCAGGTGCACTGGATTTCTTTCATAACAGCAACCAACAACTTCCGTTTTTTGCACTCTGACGGCAACAAAGGCCGCACAACCACGATACTCCCATATATTTTATATTTTATATATATTTTTCCGATTGTTGCTCGACCTATGATCCCACGAAATGGTGGATCGGATGGTGGGTGTCCTCGGTTATGAATAATTAATCTACCACGAGGTCGCATTAGATTCAGCGTGCACGAGGCGCCTAAAACTCCTCACCACGAGGTCCCAGGGGTTTTCGAAAATACGTGATACCTAAATAGAAAGTTGGGAATTCAATCGGCTATTTCTATTTATTTATCTGGGTTTTTTCTTTTTGTGAGAATTATTCATGCTTCCTGCTAGCGACAGGAAGGTGGAGAGAACTGGTTCAATTGCTGATGGATTTTTAGCGGTTGTTTTGATGGATTGACACGAGGCGAACGGTTTAACTTAACGGTTCATTACCATTTTTTAATCAATCTTCCATTAATTTCCAATTCATTATTTTTTCGAGGTTTTCGCGAGCAATTTAGAACGAAATTTCGAGGGAAATTGTCCAACACTCGACGTCAAATGATTGAAACAATTTTTTTGTGCTAGAAAAAGATGAAATTTTGAGTGGAAAGTCAACTTCAAGCGTTTGTTTATCATTTCAGCAAGTGTTGAAACTTCAGATCATCAAGAATTATTTTTTTTATTGATTGATCAATTATCACTTTTTAGTATTTGCTCTTCACAATTATTTTTTGAGAAAGAAAAAAATTGGGTTTTTTTTTCGCGAAGAAATGACAATTTTTGAGGGCTCAGACAGGACTCTCAAACGTCTGAATGCGTAACCGCGTGGTGGAAAGCGCGTTGGGGCATCGGTGTTGGTTCCGTGCGGTGTGCCGTGTGAACCCCGTGCTGCGTCAGGAATCCAGACGTTCGCCACGTGGTGATGGCTGGGGCACCGCTGAAAATCTAAGGATTCGAACGCTGTCCCATGAGAAACATATTCCGCCACATTAGCGAAACACCAAATGGCGATTTTTTTTTTCGTCCTTTTTCATTGGGAGACGCTTTGTCGAGAAGCATTGTTCAGCTGTTGTTGGTGCGTTTTTTTGGGATTTTTTTTGACAGTTGTGGGGGATAAATTAAATGAAACGTCTGGGTGTGGAGTTGACATTTTGAGATGAAAAAAATTAATGTAACGAAATTCTCAAGACAATTTTGCCATTTCGAGTTCAGTGAGGGATTTTATCTACTCGTTAATTATTAGAAAATTGAGAAAATAATAGAATTTTCGCTTTTGGTGCGGTATTTGACGGCTGAGATTTATTTTTTAATAAATTTGATGTTTTGTAGGTTTTCATTTTTTAATAATTTTATTAATTGTGCAATAGTTTGAATTTTCATGAGTTGCAGTTTTTAAAAGATTTCTTTGGAATGAAATGATGAAACTTTGATACAGAACCTCTGGTAACAAATAGCGATAATTTTTCCATTTTTTGTTCGAAGAGTTTTATCGATAAGCATTGCTCAGCTGTTGTTGGTGGGTTTTTTTGGGATTTTTTTTTGACAGTTGTGGGGGATAAATTGAATGAAACGTCTGAGTGGGGAGTTGATGACGTTTTGAGATGAAAAAAAAATAATAAAACGAAATATACAAGACAATTATAATTCTTCAATGATTATTATTCTTTGGATTTTATTCGAGAATTTTATTTAGTTCTGATCTGTAATGCTAAAATTTATTTTTAAACAAATTTAAAGTTTTCTATTTTTTCATAAAAACATGATTTCAATTTTTTTCAACGTTTGTTATTCATTTTGAAATAATCTCAGCTGATATTACTTGATGTGACTTATTTCCAGAATTTTTCTGTCTGAAAAATAGTGAAATTTATCAAAATTGCCTTCATTTTCTAAAAAAAAAAATCATTTGCTACTAAAAAATGATTTTTTCAATTACGTCAAGACGTGATTTTCACGACAGATTAGATTTAGTTTTGAATTATCAAAACATACATAAAAATTAGTTTTTGAAATTTCATTCAAATTATTGTTCATAGAAAAAAAGTTGAATTTTTTAATGCGGTTTCGTCAACTTGGGGAATATAAACATTGGAGTGGGGACAATACGAGTCGATAAAAAAGTTTCTGGTGACAGTGAATTTTATGAACGCATGGTTGGCCATGCTGCGGTCGAACAACATGGTAGCACCCGTAGACTTTATTACCGCATCTCACACGTGACGCGAGGTTTTCTTCGACTCGATATCGCCTGCGGCGAAGTACCCATTCCCTTCTAGCTAACTGCGCAGAAAAAATGTCCATCATTTATTCTTATATTTACAACTAATCAGAGACTATGCAATTGTCGATGTGAAGTCTATGGGCCTCAGATTAAATTACGTGTATTTATTTCACGTGGGTATGACAAGTCAAAACGTCATTGTATTCAGTAGTTGTGATCATCGAGAGAACAACTAACGTGGGAATCATCCGAAATGCCGTCGTTATTAATTTTTACGATGATCGAGTTGAGAGAAACATCCAGTTGTGCTTTCAACAATACTTTTCGTTAATTATAGACATGAAGTTCAGATGAAATGAATAAAAAACAGAATACATTCACAATTTTTTCAATTTCGACTTTTGTTGTAACATAAACGTAATAATAATATAAAGGAAAAAAAGGGGTCATTGTTTAAATTTCTGAGATTATATGCGTTTTTTGTTTGATTTTGTTTGCGTTTTTTTTGTTTGTTTTATTTTGTTTTAATTAATGATGAAGTACTGAAAAAATACTAATTAAAAAGACTAGTTTCTGAGCTGTTGACACAATATAATGACGTATTCTTCAATTTTCTGATTTCATATTTTCCTTCAATAATTCTCTACAAAAATTATTCTATTTCTATTTGCTATTAATGTCCTTTTTAATCAGAGAAATAAATTAGGGAATTAATTCCCCAGGTAGTTTCACAAAAAAATAGGAAAAATATCTTCAATTTCGAATTCTATGATTTCATATATCGAATTTCAATTTTTATCTTAATCAAAAATGAAGTACTCACCGAATGTTCTGAAAACGCTAAAACTACTATTTAAAAATACTAGTTTTTGAGATGTTCACAAAATAATCAGTTCCTCTTCAACTTTCCAACTGATCTTATTTCTTCAACAATTCCCAACAAAATAACACTCCTACCTACAATAATATATTTCTTAAACAATATATTTTTAGAGATCAATTCCCGAAATATCTTCACATGACGGCAATAAATATTTTCATCTCATTTCAATTTCTAATTTTATTGATTTTATAAATAGAATTCATTAAAAAATCCATTGCGAAGAATTATTCTTGTTTCGCGATAAGTGTTCGCACTTATAAATTGATTTCCAATGTTCAGTGAATGGCAATTTGCTTTTTTCTGCCTTTTTCCTCCATCAATTTTTTCCCCCGTTTTTTCATTAGCCATTAAATACTCATTCCCCTTGTGTTGTAACAATTTTTCGTCTCATATATCCTTTCCCACTCCCAACCCCCTGCACCGCACTCGCCGAAAGACAATAGAAAATTTTAAATAC